CCAAAAGATTAGGGATAAGGTTCTTAATCAACTGATTGTCTATAATTCGTGTACTTGGTACAAGCTCAGAATATATTGACCATAAGTTTTTTCTTTTCCCTTTTCAGACAGGCTTGTTGAGTGTACTACCCTGAAGAGAGCTATAGAAGTCGTATATGGTGCCACTTTACCAAAAGCATCGAAACCTTTCATTTATATGTCAATCAGTCTTCCACCTGAGCATGTAGATGTGAATATACATCCAACAAAGAGAGAGGTGAGGTAGCTATCTCATGGGAAAAGTTGTAGCATGTAAAAATTATAAGTTGATTGTAAGAGAATTTCTTGTTTACTTTGTCTTTTATGCTAGCTAGTGTGCATTGGGACTCTCATAGTTGTGATAAGTGAGTTGTTTGTTAGTCCTTTTTCCTTTTACCATTTGATATTACTTCTTTCAATTAATGTTATTTAACTTTCATGTGCAGGTTAGCCTCTTGAACCAGGAAAGTCTGATTGACACAATACAGAATGCTGTTGAGAACAAGTTGATGACCTCTAACACTTCTAGGACATTTCAGACGCAGGTATCTAGTGCAACTTTGAGTCTTTTGACTTCTTAGCTTAAACCAAAGCTTAGTGTTTCATGATTTTGCTTAAATCAAACCTTAACATTTCATGATTTTCCTTATCTCTATAATTTTATATCTGCTTATTGTATTTTGTTTCAATATCAATGAATTTATTTATCTGGTTCTTTCTCTTTGGGGAAACAAGCTTGATGTCTTGGGACCTCTTTTGCCTTTTATGAAAATCTTTGATACTGAACTTTCAAGTGCTGACTTCAAAGTGCAATTAAATCTTTAAATTCAACAGTAATTCTTGTAACTGCCACTGATATATCATGATCTGTGATTGTACAATATTTTTGGAGTCATCTTGTTATGCAAGATCCATTAGCTTGTTTATTTGCATGTTCTTATTTTCATTTCATACATTCCCTTAAGAGGTTGACACAAACTGCTTATCCTCATTATTTTTTGCATGAACATACTTTGAAAAACTGACTGTTCTCCTCAGTCAAAGCACTGGAGCATATTGAAAGAGGATAATTTCTCATATCACCAAGTGTCTCATAAAAACAAAGAAATAGGCCCCTGATACATCATTCAAATGAAACAGGCTTGGGATACTTAATTGTTACATCTTTCTGTTGCTATGCTAATTTTTTTGTAGTGAAAACTATATAATGTTACATACTGTTAATGATCTTTGATAATATTGTACCTATGATTTTTAATGTGCATTACAGGCTGTAAATTCCCTGTCAGCAAGTCACATGATTTTTAATGTACATTACAGGCTGTAAATTCCCTGTCAGCGAGTCACGTCAGTGCGAGCAAGGAAACTCAGGAAGGATCCAAATTTTCTGGTAAACTATATTTATTATTTTTGACCTTTGAATTGTTTGCTTTCTACACTTTCTGAAACACAAGCATGCATCATATTGCCTTATGGTACAAATTTCTTAGTGTTACTTTATTTTTATGAGTGTTTTTCTGATTCCGTCTAACAGGGATAAAATCTCAGCGAGTTCCAGTAAATCAAATGGTCAGAACAGATTCACGTGATCCTTCTGGCAGATTGCATGCATATATGAAAGAGGTATCTGGTTCACAATACAAAAAACCCGATCTGGCTTCAGTGAGGTAAACATTGCAAAGTTGACGTAATTTCTTGGTTTATAAAACTTAACAGTGCAAACTTGATATAATTTCTTGCTTTAAAAAACCGTTCTTTTCTCTGCATCTCAAATTTCAATTCTTTTGTTTTTCTTGGGGAATTTTTATATTATAATGTAATGACATTTTGGTGAAATCACTTTGCATAATGTAGCCAGCAGAACATACTTTAATAAGATTAAAATTTAGCCATGAAGCCACATTGATATTTTTGCTTCTCTGTGGGTCGGATTTCCTGGGGAAAAAAATGCTCAACTAACATGCTAGGTGATACACATGGTTTTGGACAATTACTATACAGGCGGATACGTTGGGTATAGGAAGTACACCTATCTGGATATATACCAATAGTTTGCCACTCAGTGATATTTGGTGAATATGTGTTGGATATTCCTGTTGGCATATTCTAACACATGTAACATATCCTCAATGAAGTGAAGTGCAATAGATACATATATGAAATTTTAAAAGTACAGTTTTCAGTTTCCGTGCCCACAATTGCCACCAAATCAGAAACTACTTATGATTTTCCTTACCCGGATACCCTTTCCATGTCATACCTCTCATATCCATATATGCACCACTTGAGTTTCAATACTAGTTAGATATCTTTTTTGCTTGCTATATTATTTCTTGTTGATTTTCTTTGGTTAAAAGTTAAAACGATGATATATGCTACTACCAACATCTTTATTCAGTAACAAATGTGATTTTCATGAATCTTTTGTGTATTTCTAGGAAGTTTATTGTGGGATACGTTCTTGGATCCATTGGTTCTTATATATCACTTGTATTCACTAAGATAGAGAACTGGTCAAAACCTACAAGAGGTCATCTCGTGTGCTACTTGATAAATAATCATTTCTTGATAACCTGCTTGAACCATACATTCTTAGCAGCATTGAGACTTTTGTTTGCAGTCAAGATTTATGTTTTTTTATTTTTTAATGGTCAGTGAGGTTTTTTTTTCCTGCTTAAGAGTTACGTGTTGTCCTCCCCTTTTTCTCATGTGTGTTTGTGAGTGTGTGTGTGTGTTTTTCTGAGGGGTGAATGAGATGGGATTTGTCATTACTTCACAAAAAAGCAAATTCCTCAAATATTCTGTTCGCTTGCCTCAAATATGTTGACTCCTCAAAAGCCAGCAAACACCCTACTCACCACTCTTTGAGGTCCCCAAGTGCTAGTTTTTCCATCTAGCTGTAATAAAGTATTGCCCATTGATTATACTGTATGATGAACTCTGTTGGTTGCAAATATGCTCTAGAATGATTATGGTAGGTTCTTTTATTAGCATGTTACTGATTTATTGAATCCTTTAGTCTCCTGGTTTATGCTAAAAATAAGTGTGGCGTTTTATTTTTGATTAGTTAGCTTTGAACTTTTTAAATTCATTTGCAGAACTGCTATAAGATTACGAAGGAACCCTAAGGACACTGAAGATTTAACTGCTGTAAATGAGCTTGTTAGAGATATTGACAATAATGTCCATTCTGGTGAGTTTTATGCATACATTCTCCTGTATCCATGACCACATGATGGTAACGCTATTATTGAGAGACTACATTAATAATTTCAGGTCTCTGGGACATTGTAAAAAATTGCACATATATTGGACTTGCTGATGAAACTTTTGCGTTGCTTCAGTACAATACCCATCTTTATCTTATGAATGTGGTGAATGTCAGGTATGCATTTTATTCTTTGTTATCTTCACCTTTTACTAGGCAAGAGTTTATAAGTAGTGTTTTGACTAATGATAACTTTAATGCTTTCTTAGTTTTGCTTTTTTGTTATCCTCATCTCCTATTGTATCCATGACCATACATTCTTAGCTTTGCTCTTTTGTTCCCTCTTTAAGTTTTTACTTCAGATGCTCATGTAAATGATTTTTCCATTAAATGCAAACTTAGTGTTTTTGCTGACTTAGTAGTACCACTAAGTTATGTTCAATGAAGGGATTTATTTTATTCTAAAATAGATATGTCCAATGAAATATTTCCTACCTAATTTGAATATTGTTGCGTATTCATTCAAATAATTGGTAACTTCTTCCTCACGACACCCTGTTTAGACATTGATAGAGAGTGTATCTTAGTTTCTACTTCCTCTAAAAAAGTAAGGGTGACTTCTGAAGTTTATCTCTCCATTTCAGTGTTTCTTACTTGTATATGATTTTCTAATTCAGCTGATGATTCACATTTGATTTTATATTCTTTTGTATCAGCAAAGAGCTTATGTATCAACAAGCTGTAAGTAAATTTGGAAAATTCAATGCCATCCAGCTAAGTGATCCAGCTCCTCTTCCGGAGTTGTTAATAATGGCACTGAAAGAGGAAGACTTGGATTCTACTGGTGATGAGGATGATGATCTGAAAAAGAAGATCGCAGAAGTAAAAGAACCATCTTTTAACATTTTTACTTAATTCATGTTATCTTTTCACTTTCACTTTGTTCAAACATTTCACCAAATGGTTTTCTGGACATATTCTCATGACGTTTGTCATAGTTAAAAGACATCTATTCTTGCTCAAGTACCTTTTCTGATGTTCTTGAAACCAGTTTTTAAAATTTGAAGTAAAATTGTGTACAGATGTAGTGTTGGTGCATCGTTAGTTCATTTTGACCATACTGGTTTGGTTTATGTTTTTTTTTTGTACTTTTAAGCTAGAGATGACGTAGGTATTTAGTGGTTGGTGCAACTGATGATGCATGCTTGAAGTTCAGTGTGGTTACATCACAAGAGGAACCGACCTTGAGAGGATATGGGTGAAGTAAGCCCTTCTATCTGCCCATATGGGATGAACTTGGAGCTTGCTAAATTATATCAAAACATCCAGCTACATCAAGGATTCGCTGAGCCTATCAGCAATTTGTCTGTTTATTCTTGTTTCAACTATTTTCTGGCCGTTCTCAGCCTGATTATAACACTACCTACAACTTCATAAAGTCTCAATGAGGTGATCTACCTTTAGACGGCTTTCTAGGTTTATGGAATCCTCTCTTCTGTGCTTGGTTTCATTAGCAACATTGTATTTGGCATCAACTTAGCTTCTCACAAGAGCCCTGGCATTGGGTTGACTAGCTGCTTGTGAAACCTGGTCATTGTTTTTATGCATGCCGTAAATTTCGAGCAACATACCCCAAACGTGCCCTATTACGAGAAGCTTTAGATGATTAATTTTGTTTCTTGTATGTTGCAGTTCTCATTTCAAAATTTCAATCAATAACATTTTCCTGTTTTCTAGTGATAAATAATTGGTAACTAAGCTCCATCTAGTTTTTGTTTTGAGTTGAACGCTTACCTTTCCGTTATTTTTTTCTTGCTCTTACCAGATGAACACTGAGTTGCTAAAGCAGAAAGCTGAATTGCTGGACGATTACTTCTGTGTCCACATTGATCATCAAGGCAACCTGACAAGGCTTCCTGTTGTACTTGACCAATATACTCCTGATATGGACCGTCTTCCAGAGTTTTTGCTGAGCTTGGGTAATGATGTAGGTCACAGCTCATAATGCTTTGATTGTTGCTAAAGTTGAAATTACTTCTCCTTGCATGCATGGATACTTTTGCACTGAAAAAATTACCCTTGAAGATGTTGTATTTTGATTATTAATAATTTTCGATCATGATTAAGCCAGGAATATATTATGTTTAGGCAGTCTTTTTTTCTGTTTTTCAAAAGTTCTTCCCTTTTCATGTGTTTCCTTTCTATCTATGAAGGATAACATATGCTCTCTCTTACCACTATGACATCAGATATGCATGAAGCATGTAATTTGCTAACTCTAAAAAATTATACACCAAATGCCTTTATTGGCTGTTATAGTCCAATTTTTAATGGATTTGTAGTCTAAATTTACTTTATCATTGCGAGAATTGAGTTATTTTGTTAAGCTGAACTCACTTTTTACTTAATATGCAAGTTGTATTTCACTAAACAGTTCTCATAATCTTTAGGTTGACTGGGACAATGAGAGTGAATGCTTTCAAACAATTGCAGCTGTTATTGGAAACTTCTACGCGATGAATCCGCCTATTTTGCCAAATCCTTCTGGTGATGGAGTTCAATTCTACAAGAGAAATAGAACTCAAATTGAAAATATTAGTGACGCAGGGACCAAATCAGCCACTCCTGGTATAATGCTCTTAAGCTGCAAAGTAGACTATTGGCTTTCCAATTTATTGATGGCAATAATAATTTTCTCTTCATTTTATTTCTTGATGTCTGTCACGCCCCGGGCCCACGGGCCCTGTTGGCGCGTGCAAGCAGAGTAACTCGATGTTGGCTAACATCTACTTGCTAAAATGCCAACACTTAGTTACCCTTGAGTCTTGGTTTTTCTCTATTTAAACCATAATTTTTTTCACACTAGTCCATGTGGGACTAAAGTGTGGGGGTATCACAATGTCATACATACTCGTATGTGCGTTGAGCGTAAACACATGCCACTTAGCCCCATGTGGATCATGTGAATGCTGAAGTTATAAGAAATTAATGTTGAATGTCTTATTTCATTTAGCTTTTTAGGCTTCAATTTAGTAATATACTTGTTTCTAATGCCAGATGATGTTGGAGAAAATGATATTGATCAGGAACTCCTTGCTGAGGCCAAAGCAGCATGGGCTCAGCGTGAGTGGACAATTCAACACGTTTTGTTCCCAGCTATGAGACTATTTCTTAAGCCACCAAATGCTATGGCCACCAATGGAACTTTCGTGCAGGTTGTTCTCCATCTCTGATATAAATAAATAGAATTTTCTTATACATCGGTAACGAACTAACGATAATGAATGCAGCATCCAAAAATATCATTATTGGAGGGGGTAGAAATTGATCAAATGAGTAAAACAAATTATTTGTTAAATGTTCATTTGATCATTCGGTTAAATTCTTAATACAATTATTCGCGGTGCCTTCTGCTTCTCACCATCTTATAATTTTTGCAGGTTGCTTCACTGGAGAAGCTCTACAAAATTTTTGAACGATGTTGAAAGTAAGTTCTCAGCGAAATTGATGCCGTCACATTTGGGAAGAAATGCTTCTGACATATTGGAGGTCGATTTAGTTAAAAAATGTGCCCTCGGCTTTTGTAAAGAAAAGTTGTATGCCATGTAAAAACTTTCAACGTTCATGTTAATTTCTGCTTTTGGAAACTACGATCATGATCATCAAATTGCTGCTGTAGATGAAGCATTTTTGTATGGTCCTTTTTTGTATGAATGTCCTTTTTGTGTTCCTTACGTAAGTATTCTTCTCCAATTTTGTCCTGAGATTTCATTTGGGCAGTTATTGCTGTGTCTACACGTACATGTACAGCTGTGATGTAAAAGCAAACTCAGTGTTTTTGTAAAGGCGTAAATGCTATTGAAGTAGTTGCTTCTTGCAAATTGCGGTCGTTTAATTGAACACGACGGCCCAAAATTGTCCATTGCAGAAAGGGGCCCTATGGGCTGTAGGCCAACCTGGGCCTTGATCAGAGCCGCTCACATCTTGTATCCCATCATGTAGGAAAAAACGCGATTCGTCTTTGCCAAGTCAGCATACACATGTCTTCTCCTTATCCTACCACGTGTATTATAAACATTTTTTCCCCCCTCGAGAATAAAAAAGAGAAAAGAAAATTGCGTTCAAAGTGAGGAGGCGAGAAGCAAAAACGCGAGAGAGTGAGAGCGTATATAAAAAAAAAGATGAAACCGAGCGACGCGCTTCGCTCCCTTCTCTTCTCGCCGTCGACTGCCCGAATGCTGTAAAGGTGCGATCTTTAACTTTTATTATTTCTCCGAGTTGTGCGTTTCTGTGGACGCAGCGCCCCGGGAGCTCTCGTTTGCGCCTCGTCGGGAGCGGAACCGTGGAGGTTCCAGCGGTTTCTAGGTCAAATTGTTCGCTCTCTCTAAAACCCTAGATTCTACGTCTCGTGTGTTGGTGGTTGTTCGTTTTGCTCATTTCTACTGTTATAGGATTAGATTTGTCGCTGGAGGAGCTGTAGAAGGCCTTATTGGTTGCAAATTTCGAAATTTTGGGCAGATTGTTGACAGTTTATTGGATAAATTAGATTGTTGTGTGTTGGGTTTATTCCTTTGTTTTTTTAATCATTTTTAAGCTGTTGTCCGTGAAATATGCATATATTGGGATCGGAGATTTGAGGCTGAGAGGTGGAAAATTTTTAGCGTATATGATTGAACGTTGGTGTCTAGGGTTTCGCGGTATTGTGCTAAATTTTTCAAAGAACTTTTTTCTTAATCTCTTTTGTGCACGCTATGACATGATTAGCTTGACTTTCTTGATGCGCGTTAAGTTGTTAATTGTTTGCTGTTTCTTCTCTCATTCGACGCCTCCTCTCACAATGCTGATCAATTATCTGTGAAATTGCCTTTGGGAATCAGACAAAGGCTAGCATTTAGTCCTCGTGTAACCTTGATGCCTATCAATTAAATTATGCTAGGTAGTAGCTTAAGAAAACTGTGTTTTAATTGTGGATTTAAGTTAATTTCTGTCTTCTTTTGGGTCTTTTGTATGCATTTGGTAATCATTTCTGGTGTTTGTTGATTTCCATTGCAGGTGGTGACCATTTTAGTATCTTATATTGGTGGTGGATATATTGGCCTGGTTCTTTTCTTGAGGCTATTTAGTAGAAGCTATTGAACATGCCTCTTCACAAGAAAAAGCCTTTCCCCTTAGTGGATCCACCCCATGATCTGAAGCCTAGTGAGCATGTATATCAAATTCGATTCACGAAGGAAGTATTGCGGGACTACCAGTATCCTTTAATATATCGCTTCTTTCTTGGTTGTAGAGTTCTGTACAAACTTCTTATGAAACATGATAGTCTTTGATAAATACATTCATCCTTAATAAGCCTAGAGAATATCTGAACAGGTTGAACCTTTATCGCCAAAGAGTATGGACATGCAAGACTACTGGAAAGACTAATTTAACATATGAGCAAGCTTTGGTCTCGGAGCGTCGGGCAGCAGAGAAGGTCCAGCAATTCCCAAAAGAATTGATGAATCCCGTGCTTCAGATGATACAATATAGTGAGAACTTGGAAACTATTTGCAGTTGCAATCGCTTTTTTTTTGTTATGCCTTTCATGTGTCACATATGTGCACTTCGGCATGTGTGTGTTTTGTTGAATAGATTCTAATTTATCATCCCGCTGTCTCTAGTGGTCTAGGCATTTAAAACTTCTTTTGCAGTCATCAGACTCTGATGTGCGATTATAGCAAGTGGCATCTACTATTCTAAAGGCTAATTCTGTTCTAATTGATGTATTTCCAATCTTTGTGCTGCCTATTCTTGTTTACCTTTCCATGAATTAATGTGGGTGTCTGAAGTATCAAACAATAACATGTAAGAAGAAAGTATATATGAAATGTAATTTTAGCAAAATGTTTGAAGGAATGAGTTTATGATATAGATTGATGGTAACAACATACATCGTAGTGATCATTTGCCAAGAATCATCATTTGTTAAGATCCTGAGTTTCGGGGAGATATGGTGCATCAAATCAAAGGGAAATGAGTAAAATAAAGAAATGTTTTTGGAATTATGTGTAATCAATGGGTATCTGTGATTGAACAAATATGTAAGACAATAATAAAACTAGCAATTCTATACAGATCAGAACGTAGGACAATTAAGAAGCTATATGTTCAAGAAACATGTATAGAAGCAATAAGCACATTGTAGTGGATGAGTAAAAATATAATAAGAGAAGAAAAGATTTCATTTGTAAGAAATTGGATGTTGCTCTGTTGAGGATAAAATTAGAGAGAATTGATTGAGATTTGAGATATTTGGTCAGAGGATAAAATTAGAGAGAATTGATTGAGATTTGATATATTTGATCGGTGCATTGGAAGAAACTAAATGCACCAATTTGGAGAATTGATAATATTACAATTTATAATTAATAGAATAAAGAGATATGCATAAGAAATTTGGATGAAGATAATTAAGAAGTATATGATACTGATTTACTTAACTCCAAATCTATTTCCTGATAAATTGAATGGAAGAGAAGTATGTGATAGATAATAGATGGTCTCAAAACTTTGGGGTGAAAGTTCTCTTGTTGCAGCATATGGTTTCTAATTCTCAGGTAAAGTAGGCAAATAGAAGAAAGACTTACATTTTCATCAATTTATTCCTTTGTATTTGTTTGCATGCGAAATACAACTAAACTATTTCTTTTTAGGGTTAATTACAGATATACCCCCTGCACTGTGATGGTTTAGCTACTTTACCCTATAGAAGGATCAAAGCCTTTATGAAATTTTATCTGGGGTGAGAATTGATTTTTGCATCTGCTACGTGTGAAAATAGATTGTCGTTTGTAAAAATACTTCATGTTAATATCAATAAAATATCATAGGTAGTAAGATTTACGGAAAAATTTCTGATAGGGATGGGCTAACATGCTGGATATATTACTAGAATGGTCATTGCTGTATATGCAAGGTATCACAATATTGTATACATTGGATGTAGATTTGAGCTTATATAACTCATTGTTGTTATGGTTGCAATAGCATAGCTTCTTCTTTTGTCCTTTACTAAGTTTATTCTTCAGATGTCAAATACTTGGTCTGGCCCCATGTAATATTTTTGTGGTTAAATTGTTCTTGCAGGCACTCTAACTTTGAAAGATCTTGTCGATACAATATATAGTAAGTTCCGAGAACATCTGTTTGAAGGCTTAGAATTGCATGTGTGGAAGGAGAAGTTTGTTTATGCATGCAAAATTTTAAAACTTTTGGAGGACGAAAGTGGCACTCACTATGAAGTTGGTTTGCTTGATAATGACAAGAGAGTAACTGAAACTTTAATTGTAAAAGAAAGTGATCTGATACGCAAGAAGGCACCTTATAGTAGGAGTGTACTGAAAGCTTTTATTAGGGAATCCACTTCACAAAGTGCTCCATGGATGCTTCACGAAAAGCTTGCCGAGAAACATGGGATCTCAACCAAACCTCCTGAAAACCTGGTAATTTACTATCCTAGTCCTATTTGTTGGTTTTGATGCATAGATTCTAAAATCTGAACATTCTCAGCACACCGGGAACACAATTGGCAAGAAAAGGAAAAATACTGAAAATGGCAGTGTGGTGGACATGGATATGACCAACAAAAGAACAAAGAAAGGTACATGATGGAGACTAAGTTTGTTAATCTTGAATTTTTCTTGTTATCATTATCTAATGTGGTTGATTTGCACGATTTTTATGTTCAGATGGAGATGCAACAAATGGAATACGCATTAAATATCCAATTGAGGATCTCTTAGTGCAACCTGCTGCTAATGACCCGGCCTTTTCAGATCGCCCTTCACTGTATACAAGCTTTAAAGTACCAATGGATTGTGTTGGAGATCTTCTGATGATTTGGGATTTCTGCTCTTCTTTCGCTAGATTGTTGAACTTGTGGCGATTTTCTCTTGAAGATTTTGAAAACGCCATCTGCCACAAAGATAGCAATCTTATTCTAATTGTGGAGGCACATGCTGCACTTCTTCGCTTGCTTATTAAAGATGAAGGAAATTATTTCATGATCATTGAGGGTAAAAAGCGAAAATCAAAGGTAAAATGATTAGGTTTCATGCTATTAGTAGAATTTCTGTCCTCTTTTCGGTGAAGCAAAATTTTGTAAAGAATTCTTCTTGTATGTAAAGAACTACAACTCTGCCCATCCTATACATATTTTGCATAGTAGTTACTCCTGATGTTTCTTCATATTATCACAGATCACAGTGATCACCTGGAAAGAATTTTTATGTGATTTTCTGGAGATGGAAGGTAGAGAAGAACTCACAAAGTATTTGGGTACAATAAGAAGGGGACATTATGGTCTCCTTGAAGTTAGCGCGAAGCTGAGCATATTTCGTGATCTTGTGTCTGAGGCCCTCAAAACTAATGCTATTAGAGCTAGGGTAGATGAGTGCATTGAACAGCAGCAAGAACTTGCAGCAAAGAGAAGAGAAGAAGACAAAAGGAAGAAAGAAGAGCACAGCAAAACATCTGACAAGCAAGGGCATCAAGAGGGCAATCCACAAAATGGTGAAAGGAATGCACATAGTTCTGATGTCAATGGTAAGGCACCTCAAGATGAAGATGTTCTGTCTGTAGGAAAACAGAAGGCTAAGGTTTCTAAGAAACTTGGCAATTCACAAAACGGTAAAAGAAATGCTTACAGTTCCAGTGTCAATGGTAAGGCTTCACAAGATGAAGACAGTCTGCCTTTAGGAAAATGGAATGTTAAAGTTTCTAAGAAAAGTTATATTCAAGAAAACGGGTATGCATTTCTTTTTGCCATAGTTAAATTTCTCTAGTGTTATAAGATATTTCGTTAGGAATTAATTCAGATTCTTGCTGTTAACTTTCCAGAGAGAAAAATCATCGTGCTGCCGGCTTCGGGGAGCTGATAATGGAAAATGGAAACTATTCTGAGAAGGTAAAAGGCGTGTCCCCTACTAGTGGAGGTATAAAGAGTCCAGGACGAAGAAAATATAAAGAGAAAGACATTCAGGAAAAGCTACCTGAAGAAGAGCAAGTCCGTCCTCTTTCTCTCTCTCTCTCTTCAAACATGTATGTGTGTTTGTGTGTGTGTATATGGAAAAATGTATATGAGCTGACAGCTCATTTTGTAAAATGAGCTATCCACTAATGTCAATAGTGTTTAGGCCCACCTAGTTGTCACTTCAAATGGGGGTGGGGTCTTGTGTTTGTGAGTGGGTAGGTCATTTTACAAAATGAGTTGTTAGCTCATACCCATTGCTATATATATATAATATATATATATATATATATATATATAATAATATATATATATATATATATATATATATATATATATATATATATATATATATATATAAACACATTTATATATATTAAATACATATGTAATACAATATATACAAGAGCGGAAGGTTCCTCTCTTAAAACTCAATTGTACTACACTCCACTTCCAACAATCCACTCATCCACTGTGATCTTCATGGCCTCAAATACATGAACGTGTAAAATCATGTGATTTATATGTTACCTGTAGACCCACCCATTTTATTTGTTTTACTACTGAAAACTATTCATTTTCTTTCACTTGATGCATGGTATGGAGGATATCAAACCTCATGATTGTTCATCCATGTGTTTAAAGGCATGGGTATTACCTTGATCATATGGATCACACGTTAAAGAGAGATAGAGGTTCTAGGCTGCAAACAAAGAAAATATCCTCCTTTAGTAACTGACCTCATTATCCTTTTGGGTATATATATGTATGTTGCATATTTGGATGTACATGTGCGGATCTTTTTCATGTGAGCATGCACATATACACTCTCACGTCCATACACATATTCCTCTTTATCTTCAATCTGTTGATGAGAAAATTATTTATGCCACAGAAGGATTATATTGAAAAGGAACTAGAAAAGCTATCTATTCGAACCAATCCTCTAGGAAAAGATAGAAACCACAACAGATATTGGTTCTTCCGGCGTGATGGAAGACTTTTTGTCGAAAGTTCAGACTCTATACAATGGGGCTACTACTCAACCAAGGAAGAGGTGATTATTTTAGTTACTATTATGATACCGAGCTGTACGCTCCTTATTCTTTTTTGTCTTCTTTTCTATATTATGCTGACATTTCAATATAATTCATAACAATCAGCTTGACGCACTCATGGGTTCGTTAAATCCAAAAGGTGTGAGGGAGAGGGCTCTTCAAAAACAGCTGCAGAAACACTATCAAAAGATGAGGTAAGTTACTTATGCATGAAGTGCATTGATGATTTCTAGCATTTTGTAAATATTTATCTCTGTAAGCATTGATGGTCAAACTTAACATGTCTTGCTCACACACCCCAACCCTTAAAAGAGCTAGTAAAGGAGGAATATGGACTGTCCTTTAAGTTGCTTGTAATGGGAATAATTACAGGTTTTATGGTGATCAAGAGTTAACCCACCTTATTCTTCTAGAAAGAATTCTAATAACTGCCCTGCTTATAGAAAAAATGATTTTATAATCATCGTTTCTTTCCTATGCTACCTTGCCATCTCAGTTAGGTGAAATGGTTGATTTTATAATTGTTGTTGTCCATCGGAAATGTATCTCATGCATAAGGTTCAAAAATTCACTCTTCTTTTCTTGAGCTTGTAAGATAGTTTTAAGTATATGCTTGAGCACGTAATCAAAATTTATAAGAGGAAGCAACAGGCAACTTCAGGCATTGATGAATATTCTGTTTTGTAGTGCTGTACATCTTATGTGTATGTGGTCCTTCTTTGTGCAATTTTTTTTTGTTTTTAAATTTGTGATATAGTCCAAACCAGTACTAAGTATATTGTTTTTGAAGAGAATGATCTAGGCTTAATGGAAGGCTTACAAGAAACTGTTGTCTGACTAAAGTACTCCCATAGTGATGAAAGTACCACTCTTACTATGGCTATGTAGAAAGATAATACTTTAGAGACTGAATTATCTTTTCAACTAATATTCTCTCAGTTTATACATCAAAACAGATTTTCTCTACCCTATCAAGACAAAAATAATATTCATACTGTTGATAAAAAAATTTGTTGCCTGGGAAACACTTCTAACATTGTCCAAAAAGTTTGAAATCTTGGTAACATTCTCACACAAACTTCGAAATCTCGGTGACATTGTCCCACTCAGTTTGAAATCTCGGTATTGGTATCTATATCAGCCTTCTCTCGAGATATCGGCATTCATAGTTTTGAAGACATGTACAAATTTCAAAAATGTATTTGCAAAACACTAGAGAAATGGTAAGAAAAAAATAATAAGAAAAAAATTTAACATTTTATCGGGTCTTGATTAGCTTTCGATGAAATCATGTATACACGATAGCTGAGGCTGCATCAATTTTCTAGCTGATGTGATACTTTAGTGATCTCATTTGAGTTTGTTTTTATCAGTTTCAAGATAGTTTGTTAAAGTTATGTAGTTTCTAAGTTCAAAAACTTTAGCCTTGCGAACGTTGATTCACAAATATTTATACATATTTTTTCTTTTGCGTTATTACAGTATGGCGCTACAAAAGAGATCAAAGGAGGCCGCTCAAAACGCACTACTGGAGGATAGCGAACGAAGACGTTCTACTCGTGTTAGGGTCGAGGCAAGAAAGAAACCAGCATTTTTCTCTTATGTCAACAAGTGGAAAGATGACTAATCTAAGTTCATGGTAGAGAGATTCTTACATTCCGGCAAACCCTGATGATATGCATTTTCTGCGATGTAGTACTGATGCATTGTTTAAGGTATGGAAAGCTTTGCTTTTAGATATGTGACTTTTCAGATGGATCCTTTTTCCATCGCTGAGTACCGGTAGATATTCTTTTTCTCAGGATTCATGAGCTTCTGGGGACTTAGTACAGATGCTGAAGAAGTGGATACTTGAGATTGTAGAGAGTTAAAGCCTAGATGCTGACTTGTGCGAAGTCTTATGGGGGTACTGCCTCCTAAGAGTTTTTGAGTTGTCGCATTGCAAGTTTTGTCTGGACATTTTATACGTTATATTTATTCTACTGTTGGGATAGAAACTACTCACACCGCCGCGGTAGCTAAATCAACCCGAGAGAGAACAACCAACACAAGCACTAGCGGATACACAGATAAAACAATAAGTAAATGAGACGAGACAACAGATTTACGTGGTTTGGTAAACTTGCCTACGTTCACGGGAGCCACACAAATAATTTTTTATTTAACCATAATAAATTACAAACTTGCAAAGAGAAGATCTCAAACTAGATCTATCAAAATATCGCGGGTGATTTTCAATCTAAAATCACCGCTACAGAGCTTGTGCAATTTTTTTTCCTTTATCGAAAAATTCCCTCAATAAAAAACCCCTTCTCAAAAAAAACCTTTGAGAAGTTGCAGTCGCCGTAAAGAAGAAAACTTCTCTGTTAAATCGCAAGAGAGAGCGCTGCACTCAACTCCGTGAATTGGGTTTCCCTTTTATAGGGAAACCCTAGGGAGCTCCAGCTGGATCCCAGCTGTTTCCAACCACGCCAGGCGAGATCCTCCTCTCGCCTCCCCTTTCACGCGAGCTCATCATCCGCTCTCGTGCAGGCGAGCTACTCCTTCGACAGACGAGCTTGAAGTCCGCATCTCGCTTGCAGGCGAGCTTCCTCGCCTTCCTCGCCCGCATCTCTTCCGCAGGAGAGCTTCTCGCCGAAGCTGTCGAGAGCTCCGCCGTCGCCGTCGCGTTGAGAGCTCCGTCGTCGCCGTCGAGCTCCAATCTCCGAGCTCCGCCTCCACCCGCAATCATCGCCGTCAAGCTCTGATCTTAAGCAGGTCCGTTCTTCTTCAGTTCTCCACCTCGTCCATCATTTGATAATCCTCAAATTTTGGACAATCACCAGAAGAACACCACGAATGCCAACCAGGCCAAAGCAGGCCAAACCAGCTGCGCCACTATACCGCAGTTGCCTACGTACCCTCTATCGGGATCAAGCTAGCCGTAGTTTTGTATTTTGCCTTTTTGGGCAGATCAACACGGGCTGATATGAAGCAAGTCCAAGCAATACTGAAAGTTGCTACTTGTCACCACCTTGGTCAACATGTCTGCTGGTTCTCATTTGTACATTCATGAGAGAAATACCACATTCCTCTATGACATCCCGCACAAAATGATACCTGACGTTGATATGCTTGGTATGAGCATGATGAAGTTGATTCTTAGCCAAATGAATTGCACTCTAACTATCGCACCACAAGTTCACGCAATCCTGCTCAATCCCCAAATCATCTAGAAGACCCCACAACCATAATGCTTCCTCACTCCCTCTGCCATGGCCATGTACTCAGCCTCTGTAATAGAAAGTATCACTGTAGCTTGTAACATCGATCGCCAACTAACTGGAGCACCATGTATTCTGAATAGATAACCAGTAGTAGATCGTCTTCTGTCTAGATCGCCCGCATAATCTGAATCCGCAAACCCATCAATCTGATATGTATTTCTACCAAAACACAGATCCGTATCAGCGGTACCCTTTAAGTACCTCAAGACCCATTTCACTGCTTCATAATGTGTCTTTCCTGAATTCGCCATGAACTTACTGATAACACTGACCGTCTGTGAAATATCTAGACGTGTACACACCATTACGTACATCAAACTGCCAACATCACTAGCATAAGATACACGCTCCATGTTTGCCTTCTCTTCCCCTATAGTGGGAGATTGTTTACCTGAGAGCCTAAAATGTGGAGCCCATGGAGTCACCACTGATTTTGCACTTTGCATCCCGAACCTTGCGATGACCCGCTCTATGTAGCCCTTTTGACTCAAGAATAATCGCTGATTCGCCCGCTCTCTTTTAATCTTCATACCCAGTATTTTCCTTATAGCGCATATGTCCTTCATCTCGAACTCTTTACCAAGTTGAGATTTCAATCTATCTATCTCCACCTTACTCCCTAAAGCAATAAGCATATTATCCACATACAAAAGAAGATAAATATAATCACCTTCACGAAGCTTCTGAATGTAAACACAACAATCATAATCGCTTCTGGAAAACCCATGCTTCAGCATGAATGAGTCAAATCGCTTGTACCACTGCCGAGGAGATTGCTTCAATCCATAAAGTGATTTCCTCAAGCGACATACCTGATGCTCCTTATCCTCAACCTTGTAACCCTCAGGATGATGCATATAGATTTCCTCATCCAAGTCTCCGTGCAAGAAGGTCGTCTTTACATCGAGTTGTTCCAGCTCAAGATCACCATGAGTAACAATACTCAATAGCACCCGAATAGAAGTGTGTTTTACCACCGGAGAAAATATCTCATTGTAATCCACACCCTCTCTTTGTGCAAACCTTTTAGCCACTAGTCTAGCCTTATACCTTGTACCGCCGATCTCGGAAGGATCCTCCTTTATCTTGTACATCCACTTACAACCAATAGCTTTCTTCCCTACGGGCAATGGGACCACCTCCCATGTTTGGTTCTTCCGAAGAGATTGTATCTCTTCCTCCATTGCAGCCAACCAACTCTCACTGTCCCTGTCCCGAATAGCTTCTTTGAAGATGACCCGCTCATCATCCTCCACCGAGAGTGCGTACTCAACCAAATTTACATGCCCATAGTGCTTCAGAGGCTGATTTGACCCCAGCTTTTGAACCTGCTTGTATGCTCGTCTTGGCCTAGTGGAAGCCAAACTATCTTCGAGCTGCTGTTGTTGTAACACTTGTACATTTTCTTGCTGAACCTCCTCCTGTTCAAGCTCATCATCTTCATGATCCTCCTCTTGTACATGACTAGAACCTGGTTGGTCTTTAGGTTCTATTTTAATCACCTGAGACTTTGAAGCCCCAACAGTCCCAACACCACCGTTCTTGGATGCCCTGGCAATCATGGATTTCTCATCAAATGTAACATCTCTGCTGATCATGAACTTGGAATCTTTTGTACACCAAAGGCAATATCCTTTTACGTCCTTTGCATACCCCAAGAATATTACCTTTTTGGCCCTCGCGCCAAGCTTTCCCTCGTTTACGTGATAGTAAGCGGTATATCCGAAAATCCTGAGCCTATCATAATCTACATGCTCCCCTGACCATACCCGATAGGGTATATCACTATTTAATGTTGAATGTGGAGAACGATTCACTATGTAACAAGCTGTAGCAACCACTTCTGCCTACCATTCTTTGCCCGAATCAGCATATGATCGCATACTCATTGCTTTTCTCCCGCAATATACAGTTTAGTCTTTCTACGACTCCATTCTGCTGTGGTGTAGACCTGACTGTCTAATATCTAGTAATGCCCTCCTGATCACAGAACTCCTTGAAAGTATCGTCTATATACTCTGTACCGTTATCAGATCTCAGTGTCTTCAATTTATTGTCTGTCATGTTCTCAACCATTGCTTTCCACTTCTTGAATGTCTCGAATATCTCATTCTTATGCTTAAGAAAATAAATTCAAGCATACCTAGAATAATCATCTATGAACGTGACAAAATACCTGGAATCACCCTTGGAAGTTTTCTGAGCCGGACCCCAAACATCTGTATGCACATAGTCTAATATACCTATGTTCTTATGCTTGCTTTTCAAGAACTAGACCCTGTGCGCCTTTTCGTACACACAATCCTCGTAAAAATCCATGCAAGATTTCTTCAGATTCTTCAGCAAACCATCTTTACCAAGCATATCTAAACCCTTCTCTAACATGTGCCCAAGCCGCCTATGTCATAACCGAGTGTGTGCGCATGAGTCTCCACCACTTCCTTCAGTACCAACCGTTGCATCTCCTATTACTGTCGTACCCGAAACAATATATAGATTACCGTGGCGAATGCCCTTCATCACTATTAAGGAACCCTGGACAACCTTCTTTACTCCGTTCTCTGTTACAATCTTGCAACCACCGGAGTCCAAAGCATCAACTGAGATAAGATTCTTCCGCAAGTCGGGAACATGCCTCACTTCTGTTAGGGTTATGACCACTCCATCATGCATTTTGATTTTTATATCACCAAGCTCCACCGTTTTACAAGCATGATTATTCCCCATCTACAATTTCACCATCAATACTTCTATAGGTAGTAAATCACTTCCTATTTGGGTACATATGGTAAGAGCAACATGAATCAAGACTCCACTTACCGAAGATATCTTCGCCACCCGTAACAACATAGCATTCTTTATCGCTTCCTTCCTCCGAGACGTAACTCGCCTCTTCCTTGCCTTCTCTTCTCTCGGTTTTATTGTTATTCTTTTTCCCACCTACTCTCTTGTTAGGACAATTAACTTTGAAATGCCCAAGCTCACCATATATGAAACACGGTCTTCTCATAAGTGGTCTTGATTTCGATCTAGACTTTCTTCCCTTGCATTTTTCTCGCTCATTGCTCCTTCCTCTAACAAACAATCCCTCTGCTTGCTCCTTGTTACCACTAGTGGCCATGTCACTAGTTATAATTTTCTGAAGATCATCCGTCAGAAGCACCGTTCTAGTCTCATCCATCTTCAAATTATCACCTACAAGCATCAATGTTTGTATCAGGTTCTCATAAGACTTCGGTAAAGAAAGAAGTAACAGAAGTGCTTGATCCTCATCTTCTACTATCACATCAATGTCCTTCAAATCCGATATGATCCTATCGAACTTGTTGATGTATTCCCGGATTGACGAGCCTTCCTCCATCTTGCAAGTATACAATTTGGATTTCAAATAGATCAGATTCGTTAGACTCTTCGTCATGAAGGTACTCTCTAACTTTGACCACATGCGCGCAGCCGTTTCCTCTCCATCCACCAATAAAGCAACATCTCTCTCAAGGCATAGGATAATCGATGCTCGTGCTTCGAGATCTAACTCTTTACAATCATCATCAGACATATCTTTGTGCTTCTTTTCTCTTCCTGCCAAAGCCTTGTGCAAGTTTTGCGAAATCAGTGAATTTTTCATCTGCACCCTCTAATAAAAAAAATCATTCTTCCCATTGAATTTCTCGATCTCATACTTTCCCACTTTAATTATTGTACTTGTAGATGTCATTCTCCGCTTGTATAAATAAATCTGCTTCTCTTAGGAATTTTAACAAATACCTTGCACCACACAATAACCAAGCACTATCTCAAATCGAAAGTTCTACCACTACCAATCTGAATAAAGGGCTCGGATACCAATTGTTGGAATAGAAACTACCCACACCGCCGTGGAAGCTAAATCAACCCGAGAGAGAACAACCAACACAAGCACTACGGATACACAGTTAAAACAATAATTAAGTAAATGAGACGAGACAGCAGATTTACGTGGTTCGACAAACTTATTTACGTCCACGAGAGCCACACAAATCATTTCTTATTTAACCACAAGAAATTATAAACTTGCAAAGAGAAGATCTCAAACTAGATATCTCAAAAATACCGCAAGTGATTTTCAATCTAAAATCACCACTACAGAGCTTGTGTAATTTTTTTTTCTTGACCGAAAAATTCCCTCAATAAAAAACCCCTTCTCAAAAAAACTTTTGAGAAGCTGTAGCCGCCACAGAGAAGAAAACTTCTCTGTTAAATTGCAAGAGAGAGCGCTCCACTCAGCTCCGTGAACTGGGTTTTTGTTTTATAGGGAAACCCTAGGGAGCTCCAGCTGGATCCCAGTTGTTTCCAACAACGCCAGGCGAGATCCTCCCCTTTCACGCGAGCTCATCATCCGCTCTCGTGCAGGCGAGCTTCCTCGCACGACTTCAGGTGAGCTACTCCTTCGACAGGCGAGCTCGAAGTCCGCATCTCGCCCGCAGGCGAGCTTCCTCGCCTTCCTTGCCCGCATCTCGTCCGCAGGAGAGCTTCTCGTCGAAGCCGTCGAGAGCTCCGCCGTCACCGTCGCGCCTCCTCACCAAAGCTGTCAAGAGCTCCGCCGTCGCCGCCGATCTCCGAGCTCCACCTCCACCCGCAATCGTCGCCGTCGAGTTCCGATCTTCAGCAGGTCCGTTATTCTTCATCTACACTTTTGTTTAAATTAGCACGATCAATGGTTTATGACCGGAGTAGAGGGGTAAAAATAAAAATAAAAATAAAATAAAAAGTTGATATGTAAAAGAGAGAATGGGGCATTCCGAGAATCGAACTCGGGACCTCTCGCACCCAAAGCGAGAATCATACCACTAGACCAAATGCCCTTGTACATTTTTATCTTAATCAAATTTAATGTATAGACTTTACTTGATTACCTGAAAGTGATCAGGCCATTTATATGAAAGCTGGCTAAGTAGCGAAAACAAGAGCCGCCAATTTTTGACAAAACTGGTCTAGTTTTATCTAGGTCAAAAAGAGAGAGAGAGAGAGAGAGAGAGAGAGCTCCCAAAATTAGTTCTTTGCTGGATTAACCTTTCTTGGTTCACTTCTAGTCTGGTTATCATGATCAATATTGATCTTCATACAACTTTTAGGTTATTGCCAAACACAACTAAGGTCTTCTTTTCAACTAATTTTTTTTTTATCTCGATATGTTTTTAAACGTATAAACTTCTACAAACATTTATGTACCCGAAATAACTTGATTTATTTTAAACCAAATAATGTGTTAATGTCTTGCAAAGTATAGTAAACTTCTATAATTTTAGTTATATTATTAATTTGCTAGAATAAAGAAGTTAAATATCAAATTTGAGTCTAAAAGTGAAGTTGAGTGTTTCTTTAGTGTGTGAATGATTTTGAAAGTGAATGAATGTGAAAATAAATCAGAGTAGAATAATGGGTATATACAATAAACAGAAGTCTAAATGATAGATACCATTTATATTAGTGTTAGGATAAGGAACTCTTTTTCCCCATGAAAACCACCTTTGAAGTAGGTTGAATAGATAGAAATAACATTGGAAAATATCTTTTTATACATGAACCATTTTATAAGTGGCTTTAATTTTTAGTCAACCACTTTTGTCAAATTTTACTCAATTAATACCTTAATTATCTAAACTATCCTCATTAATTACCACATGTAGCCTTGGGTATACCATGAAGTTACAAAAGTTGTACCTGTGAACCAGCCCCCTAAAGCACAAGGAAAGAGCAATAGGCTACTTCTATTTGATTTGGCACCTGAATTCGCACTTGATCGGACCGAACCAAATATTTGTCAGGCTATTGTTTTCTTGTTCCTTCGAATCTATGGAGTAAGACATTGATTTCTCAAAAAGATCAATTATCTTCATTGCATAATAGGCTTCCTTCAAAAGCATTAGCGCACGTGTAAACGAGGTGCTCTACCTAACTGAGCTATAGCCCTGGTCATATTGACATAGATATCTTAGCATATAGATAATTTCTTGTCAAGATAGGATCCCACATGATGGCTTTATGATCCGTTTACTGTTAGTGAATTGGTATTTTTTTCATCTTCTTGTAGACCCACGGAAAAAATTTGGGGTTGTGCGAACCAAAAGGAATGATGGTTTTGGATTGTACCAAGTCTTTTTGAGTATTTTGGGTATTAACTGAGCAGAAGTTTACAAAACGTAGTTGATTGAAAACTAAAACCACTTATAAGGTGACTTTTGGTATAAAAACATCTAAATAAGTAAATTCAAACCTATTTAA